ATTGTGTGTGTATTTGTATCATGTAAGAATAATCAAACTCTAACAGATTGACAGGTTGCACATCATACTTCTGCCCTTCTCCCCCTCTGTCAAGCAAGATACAGCATGCCCAGAAAAAGGCCTGGTGGCTCACAATCAGCCAGGATTTCGTACCTCAATCTTAGTGAGGATTTTGGTTCTATCACTAGAAAGACAAAGCGGATCCGAACAACTAAAGACAACAAAGATGAGATTAAGGAGGAACAGAGGCAAAAATTACAGGGTAAGTATTTATTGCTTTATTTATGAAGTTATATAGTTTTTGAACAGTCTGATAGAGCTATGCAAGGAAATTCTGAAGAAACAGGCTGAACAGATGAGTCAAATCAACACACTGGGTGGGTTAGAGTATCAAGACAACTGTAGCAATTATGAGGGCCTGTTAGGTTGGATAGAGGATGCACTAGCACAAAATGATGGCTGGTCAACAGAGCAAGTTATTGTTGCTGGAGAGGAGGATGATTACAAGGACATAGAAGATACAGAAGAGGAGAGTGAAGAGTGCTGCATGAAAGCATATTTGAGACAGTTTCAAACAAAGTACATACTAGAATCAGATATTAGCTCTCTTGATACATACTAACGTCTTTAAGGTGCAGACAATATCACTCAAAGGTGGCAGAGTATGAGTGTATAGAAACATCAAACAAACACTGGGAGAGTCTATACAAGCAATTATTTCATGCTTATTTGGAGTGGGATGCAAACAGTGCTCCAGAATCAACTGTAGACAATGATTTGCATGATCCTATAATCTGTATTAATATGTTCAGTGAGTTTCCAGGTCTTAAGGATTTCAAAGTACATCTAATCTTTGGAATAAAGATAGGAACAGTCTTTCCTTCCCATACAACTCAGAGAGACCATTAACAGAAACAATGGTTTGCTATGGGTACATGCCAAATGCTCTATTAAACCCGAACTTAGGTATTTCAATGTGTGTCCTTGAGGCCTACCAGGTGATAAGTAGTAGATGCCCAAGTCTTGGAATCCAGCCCTTCATACATAGTTTGTGTGAACTCTATAATGTATTGTTTCTTATATCTTCTTCCTATGTATTCTAACTGTTTAATTAGATATTGTTTCAAACCTCATATGTAAAGATGTTTTTTCATGCTTTTAATGTCTATCTGGAGATTTTGCAGTGTATTGAAGAAGCACTTGACAGGAGGAAGTATCCCACACTCATATCTCAGTACAAGGACATGTGTCCCTGTTGTGTAGCAGAACAACCAGACAAAGAAAAATTGGATTTCAAAATGTTGGTTTGTATGGATGGAAACGAGTCACTGAAACGAAATACTGTACAGCACTGCATGCTAGATTCTATAGGTAACACAACACAGATAGTCAACATTGAGAGGCCAGATAATTGTACAATACACTCAGACATTTTTGTGGAGGCATCTACTGTTAATAAATACTAATATGAGGTAAAGAAACATTCAGAAAGGGTGAGTTTATTATATTATTCTGTTAAACTATAGGGGAAGCAAGGATGGAAGTAGTGTTTATGAAATTCATTAAACTTTTCCAGCATGTTTCAGTAATACTGATCTCCTTCATAGATTCTAGAACCAATACAGAACAGAAGCAGTACTGTTGACTCAGGTACTACAGATGGAATGGAACATACAGGACTCTCTGCATCTGGTTCAACAATTGATGAAGAAGGCTCTCTAGTTGATAGTGTTACTGAGAAAACTCCATGTACAGATTGCTGGACAAATCTATCAGCAGACTCCAAAAAAAAGATGTGGGGGACCTTTTCTGAAACTAGGATTTTTATTACTACATGTTGTCATAGTGTAGTCCTTCTTATCTGTGACATGATTCAAAGTGGGGAACTGTGAGTAATCAATTATTTATTTCATATTTGTGAATTTGAACTGACAGCTACTATTAATAGTGCCAAATATCTGCTTGCATTGACAGGCCAGTTGATGGAAGTGTTTGGTGACAATCTTATGGTTGGCTATGACATTAGTTGCAGATTCTCCACAACAGCCAACAATAGCAAGTTGCTTGGCCCAAAAATTCAAGCAAACAATTGTCACTTTTGCTGTAGAGCATTTCATGGTCATACACATTGTTGAGAGTGCCAATTACAGTGGCACCTGCAATACATTGATGGTACTGGCTTAGAGGATTTTGAGGGCTGTGAACAAGTCTTTTCCGAGTCGAATCGAGTAGCATCAATTACTTGTCACACTTCAAAGTTTCATTGCAAGCAGACAATATTGCAACATTTTACTTGGTGGAATTCTGATAAGTTTACAGAACTTTGTAAGTACATATACTTAATTTTATCTTATATACATTCAGTCTAATTACATTTAGCTCGATTCATTATGAACAATTATAGACAAGCTCTTTACAATACTGAGAGCTTGACAATTGAGCTTACTAGAGCAAAAACAGAGCTTGGGATTGATTCAGACAATGATTTTCTGAAATGGCATACTGAAGAAGAGATGTATTTGAAGGCCCTGAAGTCTGGTAAACCAAGCAAAACTGAAGAATTGGAGCAACAGTATGTAAGTCTACTTAAGAGACATTCTGATGCAAAGTAAGTATTTGATTAACTTTTACACATATTACTCTCTAAATAATTTAATTAGAGCTTTTTACAATGCTCAATTGACTGAATGGGTTTGTCTGAGCCCTAAGGACTTTAGAGCAGGCAATGGCCATATTGTAAGAGCTGAACAAGATACAAGGAATGCAGAAAGAGCAAATATGAGGGGACTAGACACTCTCCTTACAATTCAGAACACATTATGAGCTATTGAGGGTAAACTTCATATTACAGACTGGTGGACTCCTGATTCATCAGACTGGAAACGAGTAGACAAAAGTCTTGCCAAGTGCTTATATGATAAGGCTATTGACAAGCTTGAAGGAGAGGTTATGGCACGACTTTTTGAACTTGCAAAAATGAATCAAGCTGGGACTAGTATGTAACATTTTTATTTATTTTCTTCAAATAACTAACACACTTATAGGGTATAAGCAGAGGCACTACATTAGCAAGGGGATCAAGGCACGATCAAAAACTGTGATGGCTACTGTCAAGTCATATAATGATGCTGCTACACAATTGGGCCTGCTATCTCTCAAAGTTAGTATAGTACTGAAATACATCTTTATTGGCCAATTTGACATTCTTTGCTTGGGTTGCCTTCAAGTAGATCAAAAGCCTTGGATGTGAGAAGCTGAACATAATGCTGTACTAAAGTTTTTCAAACTCAAACAATCCTATGAAGAACTTCAGTGATTAAACGTGGAGATTTGAAGGCTACATATGTACATTATCCAATCAGAAGTGAAGATGGAACAGGAGATCATTGATCTTGAGTGTTGTGATCCACTCCTTGCTATGCAATTGAAGAAACAACATGCACTTTGCTGGGCTGTAAACTGATTGTATATTGCTTGTCTCTAAGAAATCAAGGCCTGGGATGTGTTTACTAGGAATAGGGAGCCACTGAAAGGGCTTATTAGCACCAGGGACACTGTAGGAAATAAAGAGAAGGTATATTCAAGTTTAGACTGCTTGGATACAGAACTATATGAGGAAGACATTGATGAGGATGATACAGACAAGATTACAGAACTTTCTACAGCTCTAGACGTTTTGTCAGTTTTTGAACATTAATTTAGCTTGCTAATAATGTATATACATAAAATCACATATTTATGAAATCAGAAGGTTTTGCTGAATGATTATGAAGCTTAGTCTCTTTCTGTGAAATCAAGCCATTTTATAGGAAGAAAGGTGCTTGATTCTACCATTCAAATCAAACCAAGCTTCTGAGAACTTAGGCACAAGAACCTAACAAACTATCTGTAGTATAGCACTCAAGAGCTTCATGAGTTTAAACAGAGAAATACTTGATTACAGTTAGTGTCAAAGCATCAAAATTGACTATAATTATTGTCAAACAAAGAGAGGAACCAAGCATGAAATACAAATTTGAACAACAATGAGTAGTGTGTATACTCCTTGTGAATTGAGATAATGCACAGAGCCTGCAAATTGTACCCATGTTGAGGCAATGAGGAAACCCATGCTAATTGCATACTGTGCAGTGTTAACACTTAACAGTTGACTGGGACCTCCTGAGACACAAAATTGTGCAGAAGTCTCACAGATCCACAAATACCAACCTGGGAACAAGTTGGGAGCATGAACAGCAAGAAAGCAATGTAAATGAAGCTTACAGTGTTTCCAAGCCAGTTGACTTGGTTTGGCATGATACCAAACGTTTGTACAGCTATGATCAAGAGGTCATCTCTCAAAG